AGCTCAAAAGCTTTTTTACTGAAAATGTGTGTGTGAACAGACTGATAAGAATTACCAGTAGTAAGGAATAAGATCAACTGTTGGAATCTGAAATTCATTTTTTGTCAAGTTTGAGTTCATGGTAGTTCTTACATAGTTCTTTCTTAATCCAGGTCTCGATGTTGCAACCATAACAAAAACTGTTGTTGAAAACATCCGCAAGAAGGACGCTGGGGAATTCAGTCACCATGACCAAATGCTAGATACAGGCACAACAGAGGTGAGTCCGCTTCTCAGAGCAGATATTCCAGTTTGCAATCAACTATGGAGTCTTTGATCACGTGTGATCCATATTTTTCTTTCAACAATGGTGGAAATTGCCTTGGAAAAGCCTATTGGGAAAACGTACTTTCCATGTGACCAAGTGAGGATATTGCACAAATCCGTAACTTCCGTTTCTGCTTGTCCTTGATCCTCGTGTGTGTGTTGCTCAGCAGCCGAGTCTGTAAGCAGACATCAAGTGAAGATAAAGCCCATGAAATGACTACAGCAAACTACGTTGTAGTTGAGAGTAGGATGTTCTTGTAGCTTCTATGAACTACAAGGATTAATATTTTGTATCTCAGATGGACCTTTTAACATGCCCAAGTGACATTTCTAGGTACAGCAGATGCTGCCTTTACTGACAGTTTCACCACTATTTAGCATCAGCTGGATCAAACTCAGTACTTCAGAGACAGTGAGGTACTTGTAATAGCCTGTATTCAAAGTGCTGCTTAGAACGCAACCGATTGTTTGCAAATTTTTGGCAATTTTTTTGCTGTTCAGTACAAAGTTTAAGCTCTCTAAGACAAAAAGATAGTTTATCTAACACAAGAGGTGCAGGCTAATGGCATCTCTGAAGATTACAGCAAGGGCTCCATAAACCATATCTGTACAGTGTATTCATATTAGAGTTTGAGGAAAATGCATTGTAATCCATAAAAAATTTTGAGAGATGATGCTCAGTATCTTGGGAACACTTAGAAATTTTTTTTATTATTATTCCATATTGCAGATACTGTTTTTTAAGTTTTTCAATAAAGCGATCCTTGTTACTATGTTGTAATGCTTTCCAGACCCGGGTATTTTATTGACCAGATTTAATGTGTGTAACATCAGCTGTATGTTTGAAATGGTAGTGAACCTCTGTGTTGGTTTTTACAGGCGGATCAGGTGAAAATAGATGTGATTGACTGGCTCGTATTTGATCCTGCACAGAGAGCAGAAGCACTTAAGCAAAGCAATGCAATCATGAGGAAGTTCTTGGGTACTAAGCTTCACAAATTTTCTAGACTTTTTAAATGTTGGTTTTGTTCTCTTTGGCTCTTGGCACTACATTTGATATAACTGTAAATCTAGTCCATTAAAAGCATGGCTTTGCCAGCTTATGAAAATAAGGTATGGAAATTGCAAAGCTGTTGATACCCAGTTCACATTCTCATAGCATCCAAGAAACACGAAGCTGCAAAAGATGTGTTTGTGAAGATTCCGCAAGATTCTATAGCAGAAATATATAACCAGTGGGAAGAACAGGGAATGGACACTCCACTTCCAGCTGAAGATGACAATGCTATACGGGAACATCTATGTATTCGTGCGTATTTGGTGAGTTTCAAATATACAGTATTCCAGGTTATTACTTAGATATAATGGTGGGTTTACCTTGGTGGTTAAAATCTAGCTTTGTCCATTTAATTTCACTTCAGATTTTTTGATGCATTACAGCTGTGCATGTAATGACATTCAGGTTATTATATGAGTGAAAAATGTCCAAACACTCTTTCCAATACAATCCAGGAAGCCCATGAAACCTTTAACGAATGGTTTAAACACATGAACTCAGCTCCACAGAAGCCGTCTTTGTTACCACAAGCAAGTTTCACTGAAAAAGTGGCACATGAACATAAAGAAAAGAAGTATGAGGTAAGTAAAAGTCAAGTTATTTAGTGTAAACTTTTATGGTTTTGCTTAGGAGGCAGTCTTAGTTCAATGAAACAGAGTAGAAGACTGCTATGTCATATTGCTTAAGAACTCTATTATAAATTATTCTATTTTTAGGTTGAAGGGAGTAGTATAAGACAATAAAATAATAATGGCACTGCACAATAAATTCTGTTTTTTTAATATGCCTTAGCTCTACATAAGATATGGTAATGTAGTAGTAAATGTTCATTATAATCTGTTGATTGTCAGTGATACTAATAAATCTGAGCACTTGCTTTTGCTATTAACTCTTTATTCTTGTATTTATCACCTTTTGTTTTCTAAAAGATACTTCAGTTTTGTTTTGCCAAAAGTTCTTTTTACGTCTGACCAGTATGAATCCACTGTGCTCAGTTAATACAAATGTTTGTTTTATAAGCATGGCAGAATAAGTTGTTTAAAATTATGTGCCTTGAGAGGCTTTGCTTCTGAAGAGCTTGTCTGACTCTCTGGGCAGGGAATTAAGCAAGGATGGAAATAGCTGCTAGCAGCAGGTTTTAAGTTTTCGCCACTGGCTGAAGATTCTAATTTGAATTGGAGCTACACTGACTGTTGCATGCTGGTGAAGAGTCTGTTTTAAAATAGCCTTGGAAATCATCCTGTTCTGCAGCAGTTTATTTTTTGTTTCTTTGCCAGATGGATTATGGCATTTGGAAAGGCCTCTTGGATGCTCTTACAGCTGATGTTAAGGAGAAAATGTACAATGTGTTGCTGTTTGTTGATGGAGGATGGATGGTTGATGTTAGAGAGGTAAAATAAATTTTTATATCACAACATAAACCACAAAGCATAGATTGTACCCAGTTGTACCCTTGTCACCTTTAGTTTGATGTGTTCCTGTTTAATTTGCTCTGGCCTTGCTGTGATCAGGTACAGCTTACTTCCCCTTCAGTTACCATGAAAATCATATCTGACAGTCTAGTCTAGGCTGGTTAGTCGAGTTTTCTGACACTACTAATGATGTGGTTATGCTGACTTGCCTTTTAAAAGTAGATTCTCATAATACTAATACGCTGCATTACTCTGGTAAGGATGCCGAGGACGACCCCGAACGAACACACCAGATGATTCTGCTGCGTAAGCTGTGCCTGCCGATGATGTGCTTCTTACTGCACACGGTGCTGCACAGCACGGGGCAGTACCAGGAGTGCCTGCGCCTGGCGGACATGGTCGCTTCCGAGCGGCACAAGCTGTACACGGTGAGTTAGTGAGGGCTGCAGGCAGCTCAGCTTTCATTTAAGGGCTCCGTGGGTTGGCTGTGTAAGAAGCTTCTATAAAGAGAGGAAGATGCCATATGTTCCTTAAGTTTCTTTATCGCTTCCTGTCAACGGCAAGTAGTAAAGGGTTTCCTTGTATTCTGACTTAAGGAATCAAAGAGTTAACTCTGAAACACCGAGGATAATGGCCAGTGTTTTGACCAACAGTTCTTCTGAATACTTGCAGTTACTAATTTTCGGATGGGAGTTTAAAGGTTGGACTCCATGATCTTAAAGGTCTTTACCAACCTAAACAATTCTGTGATTCTAAGTTGAGCTGCAGAATTGTAATTGATTTTGCAATTATATTTCATTTCAGAAATGTATAAGCAGGTTTGCACTTGTTTACCCCTAACCTTCTTTCCCTCCTAAAGCCTGAAAAAAAACTCAAAATGAGACAGAGCTATCTTGAGCCTACCTTCAGATTTTGGATGCTGCTACTAGCTTCCTGTGCCTTACTAAAGGTCATTCTGAAATGCCTGATGCTCACACTATCTTGAATAGAAAGAAATAAAATGAGAAAAATAGTAGCTTAATTAATGACCATTGTTTTAATATCAGTTCTATTCATGGCAAATAAATATAACTTTATTATGGTTTATTATTTCTTCTTAGGTATTTTCAAAAGAAGAACTCAGAAAGCTTCTGCAGAAGCTGAGGGAATCTTCTCTGATACTTCTGGACCAGGATCTTGATCCTTTGGGATATGAAATTCAGTCATAGGTTTTTGTGTAGATACCTACAAAAACTTCTGAGCATGGACATTATGGTTACATAAAAAAAACCAAACCAACAAAACCATTACTTGTACAAACTGTTCTGATTTGGGGGGGAGGGGGAACCTGCAGCTCTCAGATTTCAGTGTAAACTTGAAAAATGCTGACCAACTTCAGAGATGTTATTTGTTAAACAACCTTTTTCATCATTTTTTTCCTAATAAAAGTGCTTTAAAAAGAGACAATGTTTGTTCTAATCTAAAATGTCATTATAGAAATATGGTGATTGTATGAACCTCCTTAATATCTTTGCTATCTGCCAAAAAGAGCTGCCCATGGACTGAAGACATTACTTGGGAGGAGAAGAATGTGCATGGGTACAGTGGGGAGAAAAGTGAGACTGCAGGAAGGTGTATGTGGAAAGTAGGGGAAAAGAAAGCAAACACCTGGGGCTGGAGGAAGGGAAGACCAAAAATGCAGAAGTGAGGGGCTACATCCAACCCTTCAGAAGAGAAGGCAGCCTTGCTTCAGGGCTTGTGCTGTTCTACCGTATATTGTGGAATTGCTAAAATGCTGCTGAACCAAAGCAAGGATGATCATATGCTGAAACTCCCAAGATTTTGTAGTTTATTTAGAAAGCTTGTTCTGATCCTGTTTACCCGTGGAAACGCACATTTCGCTGCCTTCCCCTTAATGTGAGAGTGCAGGGAACACAACTGTAGTGGAGTTAGCCGAGGGCTTTGGCTCCTTCACCCAGTCGGTGTCTTCTGACACCTGACAAAGAACTTGCTTTGCGCTCTACCTGTCCACCTGCATTTTCGCGTGTGTATTGCCGGAAATACCCAGTCCAGTTGGCGGAGAGGTGGTTTGGAGGGAAGGGGCGTTTCTGCCCGTCGCTGGGCTGGTGGGCAGAGCTGGGGGGGGTGGTGGGGGAGGGAGCGGAGGTACACAGACACACACGCAGATACAGACACAGACACAGATACATCCACACAGCCCCGCCGCGTTCCGCTCCGGGGCGCTGGCGGCGGGCGGGGCCGGAAGGCGCGCTCCCACGTGTGCCGCGGGGCGGGGCGGGGGCGGCGGGCCCGGCCGGTTCGCTGGCGGCAGCCGGGCAGCCTCAGCCATGGGCTGGCTGCCGGCGCAGGGCCGGCTGGCGGCGGGGCTGCTGGTGAACCTGGCCGCCTCCATCTGCATCGTCTTCCTGAACAAGTGGCTGTACGTGCGGCTGGGCTTCCCCAACCTCAGCCTCACCCTGGTCCACTTCGCCATCACCTGGCTCGGCCTCTACCTGTGCCAGGCGCTCGGCGCCTTCTCCCCCAAGAGCCTCCAGCCCGCGCAGGTGATGCCGCTGGCCCTCAGCTTCTGCGGCTTCGTCGTCTTCACCAACCTCTCCCTGCAGAGCAACACCATCGGCACCTACCAGCTGGCCAAGGCCATGACCACGCCGGTCATCGTGGTCATCCAGAGCGTGGCTTACGGCAAGACCTTCCCCCTGCGGATCAAGCTGACCCTGGTGAGGAGGCGGCGGGGCTGAGGGGAGCGGGGAGGGGCAATGCCAAGGGTTAATGCCAAGGGCAATAACCCCGCCTAAAAGCCCCCTTTCCATCTCCACAGGTCCCCATCACGCTCGGCGTCTTCCTCAACTCCTACTACGACGTGAAGTTCAATGTCCTGGGGATGGCATTCGCCACCCTGGGCGTCCTGGTGACCTCCCTCTACCAAGTGGTGGGTATTGGGGGCGGGGGAGGCCGGGAGCGTGGTGGTTGGTCTTCACGGTGCGGCCCCTTGTTTTGATCGCCTTTCAGTAGCATCCAGCCTTCCAGGAAACCCTCCGTGCTCTGTTATTTGTTTTTAAAAATCCCACCAAATTGTGATAATTCACCATAACTCCTGGTAAATTGAGAAACTGATCGTCCTTGCTGCTAAAAATGGGGGTCATCTTTAACGTGAGTGTATTTTCAAGGGGTGAAAAGCAGTAAAACTCCTTTTTATCTAGAGAGAACAGATGTTCTGCTGAAGCAAGTGCCTTGCATTTGAGCCTTTCCCTAGAAAGGACGTCTTCCAGTCTTTCAGTTAAGCCCGTGGTTTATCCTTGAGCTATTTGCATTTTTTCAGCATCCTTTTTCAGTTTCGACTATACACAGTCTCAGGTGTTTTTATAGAGGGTGCATTAATACATATGCACAATATACACACAATACAACCTTTCTGGATGATTATAGTTGAAAAAATAGGTATGTCCAAGGACTGGTTTAGCCCTTTCTGCTTTAACATTGTACTAATAGCTCAACCACTTCATTACTGACCATGACTGTAAAAGCCTCCCAAATTAGAATCCTCTGTCATGTTGATGTGATAGTCATCCATTTAAGTGTGAATTTCTTTGCAACAGGTATACTGTGCCTCCTAAAGAAGTGGGGCTCTTTGATTTGTAGTGTGTAAGATGATAAGTAATGGTCTCTTGTCCTGTTTTGGGGCAGGAGGAGGAGAGAGATGCTGTATAATAATTTTAAGTGATGGTGTGTGTACTGGAGAAAGGATAGTACCTGGGTGAAATTATTCTGTAATGTTAAAAAAAAAAACCTTAGCAAATTCATATGCTGGAATTCATGTTACCAGTTAATGTGATTTATCAAGTATTAAACATCATTTTTAAGCATAATATAAAATTTCATCTTTTTGGCTGTAACATCTGTCTTCATAGCCATAGATAAATAGTACTCCTTAAGGCACACTACCTTGAAAATTGAAGTCAAGAGTTAGAGTCAATTATAATCAATATTGAAATTAAATCCATTAAATTTGGAATAAACTGACAAAAGAAAAACGTTTACTGATTCTGTTATCTTGTACATGGAAGAAAATGAGAAGAAAGGTAGAGAAGCAGATCTCTGCAGTGGCAAAGGTACTCAGCTCCATCACAAACAGGATCTGGAATTTGTGTTGAGTATAAAAGGGAGCCGGCATTTTCTTTTTAGTTCTGCTACTTTTTTGTTCTTCCTCAGGTGCAATACTTTACCCCCAGGCAATGGGAAAAGGCAGGTTCAGGCACTCAGAATTTTTTCACTCTCCTTGCATATGATTTTCTCCTCCTCTCGTGGCTTTTGTGCTTCCAAGAGACAAACACACAGGGCACCCAGTTAGGCGAAGGTGATGCTCAACAATCTGTTTATGTAGTATTGTCCACGTTCCAGGTTCCCTCTGTGTTAGTAGCCAGTTTGCTTTTGCTCAGGTTTTCAATTTATGGGTTTTTTTCCTTATGTTTAACAGTTTTCTCTTTTGGTTTTAGTGGGTAGGCGCTAAGCAGCATGAGTTGCAGGTAAACTCTATGCAGTTGCTGTACTATCAGGCACCAATGTCCTCAGCTATGTTGTTGTTCATCATACCCTTCTTCGAGCCAGTCTTCGGAGAAGGGGGAATATTTGGGCCCTGGACGCTTTCTGCTGTGGTAAGGCTTTTATTGACTTTGTTTAAATAATTATCACTGATGTAGTTAAACTTGACAGTAAGGTATATTTCTTTGTGAATCAGATTTTTGCACAGCCATTGGCTATGGTGAGATGAGAGGGGCACGTGCAGGAGAAAAGCCCCTTATTGAGTCTGCCCCACTTCCTCTGAGAGGAGCGAGTCTGTCAATTGATTTATCTCCTTAATTCTTCTTTCTATTTAGAGGGCATCTGAACAACAGGAAAATCTGAAAATCCAGAAGCTTCCCCTAATGTATTAAATTAAAAATAATGTAAGTGCTCTAGTTCCAGCTCTTACTGTCCACTCAGAGAAAGAGATAAGCGTGCTCACTTTTGACATTCTCAACTCTTCTGTTCAAGGATGTCAATATTAGTTGTTCACTAGAATTAGTAGTTTATTTTCACCAAGAAGACTATAATTTCTCTCTGTATCCTGTCCAAAAAAGAGGCAGTGGCATATTCTTACCAATGCTGATCATGCTCCTCAGTGGTCAGTCATTTCTTGTAGCACTGCAGCTTATGAATGGGTTAGCAAGTATTCACAATAATACAATCAGATATTTTGCTAAAATAGTTTTCATTGTGACCATAAATAAGACTTTGTCTCAAAGGTAAAGAATGCAATCTCTGTGTGTATGAGCAGCCAGATTTTCCAAATCACTCTTTAATGTTCACCAAGAGTAAAGGAGAAAAGGGCTTGTAGGTCTCTCAGTGTATATTTATGGAGATCGTACCCTGAGCTTCTTATACACATCACCAGTGTCTGTACTGATTTGAAGCTGTTTCTGGTTTTGTTCTCCATATGTTTTTCTTGCCTGATACTTTGCATTTGCAAGTAAATGAAACTAAATAAATAATCCGGGATGTATCTACAAAACTGGGTCAGGTTACTGACTGTGTCCATTAATCCACAGATAATGGTACTGCTGTCTGGAATAATAGCCTTTATGGTAAACTTGTCTATTTACTGGATCATTGGAAATACGTCACCAGTCACGTATCCTTTGTCACATTAGTCGTTTCTCCTGCTTCCAGATGAATTGTGCTGGAATTCACTTGGGCTGATTTACTGTGGCAAAATTGTTTGCAACCTGCCTGCTTTATCTTAAATGCTGAAGCTGGAAAAGCATGTTCATGTTTTAGTGTATTTGGTTTCTTTGTTCGGCATTTGTATTGGTAATGGTGGTTTCCTCGCTGACCTTTATACCTGCAAAGAATATTAATCCATGCTTTGGCCACTTTGAGGAAGCGTTGGCATGTAAGTCAGTTTGAAGTGTACGATGGGTGAAAGGCTTTAGGTGGAGGTTAATACTCACAGCTGCAGAGATGCAAGAAAATTGCGTGAGTTGGAGTCAGCATGGCCGTACCATTGCATGTTTTGGGTGTAACTAATGAAATTTCCACGTGTTTCTTTTTACAAAATATAATGCTGGTATTTGCTGTTATCCTTAATGGATGTTTAGGTACAACATGTTCGGACATTTCAAGTTCTGCATCACTCTCCTGGGAGGGTGCCTCTTATTTAAGGATCCACTGTCGGTTAACCAAGGCCTTGGGATTCTGTGCACATTGTTCGGCATTTTAGCCTACACACACTTCAAGCTTAGTGAGCAGGAAAGCAGTAAGAGTAAATTGGTCCAGCGTCCATAAAGCAAGAGTTTCTGAATACTGTTGTGAAGGAAAACAAGTATTTAATTATGCATTGATTCTAGAATGCGCGAAATTGCCTCAGTCATTTAGATCTATGGTTTTAGTTTAACTACCAGGATTGTTATTCTGTAACTAAACCAAACGAACTGAATTATGTAGAACGCTGGGGTTTTGCCATCTCAGTCCATCCTATCGTTTTCATTAAATTAAAACAGTAACTTAAAAGAGAAAAAGGCACGCTTCAGATTGCTGTGGAAATTGTACTGAAGTAATTATATTTTTTGCATACCAAATGAGATCATGATGGCTACAGTTATAATACAGAAAGAGAGAAAGAAAAGGAATCCTGTCTCTGTGATCATGCCAGTATTGCTGTCATGAAGAAAAACTTGGAGGCACTTTTATGCAAATGTTCTGGTATGTAGTGATGCTTCCTCCTTTCTGTCTGGTAAACAATGAGGAGGAAATATACTTTGTCCAGTCATTTTAAAAAAGGCAACCAGAGTCATTCCTGTTTTTTGTGTGCTTTCTTATCTTTGTTTGGCTTCAACACAGGGATAGGATTTTGGCTGAAGAAAGTAGATAAAATTACAGGTGGAAGGAGACTGGAGGTGAGAGTGGAAAACTTGAAGCCACAGGTTAAGCTATAGAAAAATAGGAAATCAGATCTAAACAGTTCATCTTAATTTTTTCTTTTAGTCTGTCAGGACATTCAAGAAGTAATTAATGTTTTGGAAAATTTTGTTACCGCTTTATAATTTTCTCTGTGCCAAAATCAAGACTTTACATGAGATCTTGTAAATACTTGTATGCCTAATAAAATCTCTGGTTTTGTGGTAATAACCAGTTATTTTGCAGCCCTTGCACACAGACACCCATGCTAAAAAATATTTTGGAGAAATCTTCAGAAAGGTCACTGTCTTTGATGGGCGTGAAGATTGCCCATTTCTCTGTCCTGCCTTCAGCCCCACCTCCTTCACTCCCACACCTTTCCCCAAGAGTTACCTTGGGTGGGATCTGCAGGTTTGTCTGTTGCTGCTGTTTTAGGGGAGGCACAGGAGGGCTGTCTGGGCAGTGCTGGTTAAGGCAGCGTTTCCTCAACTGGCAGTCCTGGGAAATGTACTACAGTGACTGAAGAGTGCGAGGTGGGACCTACTTCTGCTCTAATTCAGAAATGCTTTGAGAATTATTTATGACAGTGTCAGGCACTGATTTTGACAATGTGGATGGAAGAAGCTGAGTGCTGTTCTAGTTAAAAAAAGGAAAGAAAAAATAACTGCTTCCAGTAAATCTGGTGAGAACATATGTTTGCTAGATTTGCAGGGTTAAAATGTTATTCCAGTATCTTAATCTTTACTTGTTGGGGTTTGTTTTATCTTCATCTACCTCTAGCAGATTTAAAGAGGGGAATTATGTGAACAAAATCAAGTATTTACGTTTTGCAGCCACCAGCAGAAATAATATTTAGTTCCTCTAAGTTTTATACAATAGAGGTCAGAAGTCTTTATGCAGGAAACAATTCAGCTTTTCTCAAGCTTGTAAATTATTTATTCTGTTACAGAGTTCTTGATTTAAGAAAAAGTTATTTCTCTGTGTAACCTAAGTTTACACCATAATACTCTATATCATTTCAGAGTTAGAAATACCTGAATAATTTAAGATCTTTTCCAACTGTTTCTTGGACATTGTACTGGTCCAAGGATAATTTTTTTATACATTTTTATAGATTTGTATAATTAGTTTAGAGATACAGCCTGGACTACTGAAAGATGCATTCAGATGGTCAAGCTCTGGATGCATATCCTTCAGTATGTACACTGAGAAAGCTATTTGCATTAATTTGTGCTGTGCACAAGTTCTTCTGAGATGTAGATAGACTGCCAAGACACAGTTAGAAAACAACTGAATTAGATGCCTGTTTAACAACAATATTTGAGATGAAATTGATGTAAAGTGGCAGAATGAACAAAACAGCCATGCCTGGAAATATAAAAGACTCCTTAAGAAGAGGAGCAGATCTGCAAGAGAAAGTTAACAGTATCATTAAAAGAGTACATTATAAATAAAATCTGTTGGGGGGGGCGCTTAAGTGATGTGATTTTTTTTTCATACCTTCAAGAACTCTTCTTTGAGATTTACCTGTTGTATCTAATAAATAAAGTATCTTGAACTTTGTCATATAGTTCAAAATATTAAATCCAGGAGACTTGTGTAATCGTGGGATAAATGGATCTTTGTATGTATTGTTTCTTTTGGATATATGTAGGGTGGGAATAAAGTTTACTGATACCTGCTTATTGCAGGAGAGAGGAGTTGTCTTTTTTCATCTTCAAATTGCATGCGCTTTGGGGGTCTAGGTGTCTATAAGACAAAATAGTGCCACATGGATTTCTGTCTGTATGAATATTTCATGAAGTTTGAATGTTGTGCACTTGTGGCACAAATGAGGGAAATTTTAAATCCTGAGGTAAAAACTGGAGTCTTATAAAAATCAGTGATACTTACATGATGAGAAACTTGCTTATTCTAGTTTTTACTACATCAGTTGAATGTGTTTTCCTGTTAATTATGTGTATTTCAATCAGTTTTGACTTTCCTGAAAGAGAAATCAGAGGCTTGTCATCTTTAGCAGTATGTAGTCATCACCCTGTGTATGCTGTTACAATTGAAGCCATACCATACAAACCCTCTTGTTTGCTTTCTGCTTTTCATTTTTCATACTCTGCATATCACTGAACTGTGGTAGCAGGATGGGCCTTGCTCCTTTGCTATCCAGTGCTTTGCTGCTTATATTACCATTCTTTGCTTTAAAAAGCTACCGCTGATGTCGTTCCAGTGGAAATTCTAGTGTAGATACCCAGGTGGCATTTAAGAACAGATGTGGATGATTCTGATTAAAATCTGAGCAACTGGTGGTAAGTTATCTTTGCTAGCTTTGTCCCCAAAAACTCTTTAGAACAACATACACAAGGTTTTCCCATTTTCCCCAAAGGAATAGGAAGTATGCCTTCACTTAAAAGATACTCAGTTCAAAGCTTTGTGTTACTTCTAACTTTGGTAACTCAGTGCTTGTTTGACAGATTTTTCATCTGGTTTTGTACGACTCACTAAATTCTTGCAGGCTGTGTGTCCATGCAGGGCACTGTGCCAGGGGAGTTTTCCTGTTGATGAGTGAACAGCCACTCTCAGACTTGAGTCTGAAGTAAAGTGGTTTGCTGCTGTTACATGTATGAAAAGGAGGTTTGTCTTGCAGGAAGTCTACCTTCAAGACAGAACTCCAATTCAGCAGGACTGTATCCTCTCTCTGTCTCATTTTATGAAATGAATGCCTAGCAATGGCCCAGGGCTAAAGCAACATTAAAGCCTTGTTTGGACTATGCAGTTTTTTATTAAACTCTTTTTAAAATATTAGTGGTAGTCCATGCTGGTTCAATAGTAAGGTAAAAGTCTCATTTTTATAATGTTTTATTATATAAGAGCTTCAGAAGAGTGTTCTGTGACATTTTGGAGTACAGCTAATGTCTAACCCATGTCTAGTTTGCCAAATCTGCAAAATCTATCAAAAGATCATGATGGCTTCCGTAACTGGCTGTATATGTTTATACAGTTGGGCTCCTGAGGAGGGCCTGCTCTTGAGCAGTATCTGCTACTGAACACTGGCACACTGCTGAGGTATTTAAGTGACTTAAAAACATCTGGCCTGAAATCCACCAATCTACCTCGGAAAAGAAAAAGAAGGCTTACTCTGATAGGTGAGAGAGCTTTCTATCTTCCTCGGTTTTATGTTCCTGCTTTTAATAACAGACTTCAGGTTATGGGAATTTGGAGAGCAGGTCTTAGTGTCCCTCAACTCACCTTTCATATTAAGATTTTTCTCCCAAGATGTCTGTTTTGCTCTGAGTTACACAGCTTATGTCTTAACTAGTTTTTAAAAGAAGAGTTTGGATTAAAGACTTGTGTTTAATTAATTAATTAGTTAAAGGCTTGCGTTTGGGGTTTTTTTCCTCTTCAAATTTTATTTTAGCCTTCAAAACCCAACTTCCCCATTTAATAAGAAAAACAACAAATTTTTTTTTTTAATAAATGAAAGGCAGCTGTATGTAGAGTGAAGATATGTTTTGTTTTGTAAAAGAATTTCACTCTCCTAACATTAAAGATGCAGTTCTTTGTTTTTCTACTATTACAATCAGGCAGATGCAAAGAAGCACCACCTTTCTGCTCCATATAAATTCCCTCTCTTTCTGTGGGTACTCTCTCTCTGATTGCAATCTCAGACTTCCATTTGACAGCACAGTTGCTGCAAAGACAATTGGGACATCAGCTGCATAGGGTTAAGAACATGAAGGAAAAAAATCTATCAGCAGGAACTGATATGATCTTGGGTAAAGAGAAATCCTGTTCTAAGACACAGAGACATCTTACCAAATAAATTTGTGTTAAGCATTGGGGACAGGTGTGTGTTTGTCTCCAGGCAGGTATTGCAAAGAATGCAAGAGCTGAAGAACTGAGTTGTTTGAATTCTTGTTGTGCTGTAGTAGTTGACACATTTAGTATAAACTAGATTTTAATAATATAAAAATTGAAAATATACGTGCCATTAAAAAAAAAAAAATGCTGGATTCAGATAGTCATTGCCAGGCTTGTCCCACAGCTATGGTTAACCTTCCTAAGAGAAGGGAGCTATTGTTCTACCTGCCCTGGCCCAGTGATGCTGAGCTTAGTGAAGGAGAGCTTGTGTTCCTGAAAGCTGGTCTGCTTTTCTTCAGCTATATCAGTTGATCCAATAAAAACATATCACCTCTCCCTATGGAGGTTGTCTGGCTGAAGTTACTGTTCCTGCTTTCATCTGACTGACTTAGATCGTTCTCCTGTCTTCCTTGAGTAAGAAGACCTGAGAGTTCTAATGGACCTAATGATTCCATTCTGTGACCCTGGGGAGTAGAACATACTCCATTGCCTTTGGTAACTGCACTGTCCAGTCAGCCCTGCTGTAAGGCATCCAGGCCAGCCCAAAGGGGCATAGTTACAATCTGCAGCACAACAAGGACTAGAGAAAGGGGAAGTGCAATCCTTTTTTGTTGTTTTAGTTGCAAGGGAGTTTCTAATACTTTCCCATTTTAGTCTTTGTCATTTCCCTTTAATATGTGCATAAGAAAGGTCCCTTTCCTATTTCAGTCTGCCCTTTAAAATTAGGGAATTCTAGAATTGAGGCAGAACTTGTATCACTGCTTGTATAAATATATTGACATAACCCAGTGTTGCTGGTTTTTACCTAGGGACCCTTGCCTGCCTTCCACTCCAGAAAAAAATTAATTGCTTAAAATACAGGAGTCAGGTTAACGTGAATTAAGACGTAATTTGCCAGCTCAAGAGTTGCATTTGCCTTCCCAGATGCACTAGCTCAGTACCTAGCAGGCACAATATGCTGCCTTTATAACAGAAAGGCAGGAACAGACATGGGCAGATTATACATAATGTAATGGAAGTAAATTATGTATTTAGAAGCAAGTACTGGGAACGATCCAAAGGTTGCTTAAGGATTGGCTTTGCAGAGATATTTTCTGATCTGTTTGTGGTTTCATTGGAACATTAATACAAGCCATACATTTGAAGACACATGGTTATATTTAAGGAGCTCCCAAGAAGTCCAGCACGGCTGTGTGGGTAACTAGCAAATACAGGATGCATATGCAGGCTAGTAGTGTGTCAGAAAAGAGCAGGATTATTTTTAGAACCATAGGCGGCTGTGTCTCATCCAGGAAGTGCAAGGGAGGAGATCTCTGGTTGAAACACAGCATAAGAATGTAATTTTTAATGACCTTGGCACAGAAGACCGTTGAATTTTTTTACTTTCTTACAAAGCAGAGGCTGAAAAGCAAACTTGTTTAAAGGAGATGTGTTGTGATTGGGTGAAGCACATGGAATAATCATGGATATTGGGACTATAGAATAGAGGTGGTTGTGATTAAAGAAAAAAAGCCAGACAATAGATTAAGAAACAACGGAGAAGAGTATACAGCACATAGATCTTATATTTTAAAACTTTCCTAGATGCGTAAGTTTAGATGCTTAACTCCATGATTAGGCAGCTGAATAGCAGGGCCAGATTTATCAGTGTGAACATCTTACCTTTCAGTAGTACTTAATAGAGAAAGGCATTGGTTCAGCATTTCCAGAAATGAAGCTGCATAATTGGCAAGTTTGACTTTTTTTTTTTTTGTCTTCAACTGAATTTGGTATGCTGTTCAACAGAGTCCTTGTTCTGCTTCCTTACTCTGCCCAGAAGGTTTTTAGTTCTCCTTACTTTTTGGGGAGAAAGAAAACATTTGTGCACTTTTATTTTCTGTTACATAACTAATGAGTGACTGAAGGGGTTTTGTTTTACAATACACCAAATTTGCAGATTAAATACTTGGATTAAGATCCTGCAATTTATATACATGTGCACATGGTGATTCCACTCAGGTGTCTGTCTTCCAGGCTGAATGGAAGAAGCCTCTCCAGCTCCTCTTATATAGCTTGAACTGTTGTGAAATTGAGTACTTTTGCTCCATGGAGTTGAAAGCATGTTAAGGTCTTCTGGGATCCAAAGTGGTTTACCTATTAAATGTATTTCTTGTGGTGGTTAGTCAAAAACTGATTTCCTACTTGTTAATCCAGTTGAGAGAAGAAAGTGACAGTGGTGGTCATAAACCCTTCAGGCAATTGTGATACATTTCTGAAAACACATGATCTCACTTTTCTGAGTGATAAGATGGTTCTTCTGATCATGACTGACCATTAGCAGTGCAGTCTGCATCAGACTTTGTTGTACAGGTAAAAAAATAGAGAGGGATAGAGATGTGGTAGGTTTGTTTCCCAGACAAAGACCAAGCAAAACTTTCCCAAAAACGCTATCTGAATTCATGGATAGCTGTGTCTCTATTGGAGCGGGATGGGGGGAATGGGACATGTAAACCTTTATTCTATACCCCTAAACCTACAATCTTATTGAGGTCCAGCTGACAGCAGTGTGAATGGACACATGGGAGGCTGGCACTGAGCTGGGATTGCTGAGCACCCGCACCAAGCTGGTTTTGTAGAACTACATGCAGGGTTACAGGACTTGGATGTCATTCAGACCTTATCCTGGATGCCAAAGACAGAAATTAAAATTCAGAAACTTTGGGATTTAGTGAAAGACATGCTCTTAGCACACATTATATGAGATGGCACTTGCTTCTGCCCCCTGATCTGTCTGAACTGTGAGAGTCATACGACCCTCTGCTAGACAGAATAGCCACGACTGGCTTAAAGCAAGTCGATGC